TTAAAAATTTGATAAAAAAACTTGCATATTTGCTATCTGTTAACTAATTATTATAATTGATATTTCTGTATCTACATTAAAAAAGATTATCAAAAAAATAAAGTGTCTAAATATAAAATTTGGATTGAATACATTTTCGGCATACCTATTTATTTATATAAATTATGTTTTATGCCCTATCTAACAAGTGCATTAGGTTTGATAATAATCAATGTCTTGTAAAAAAAATTTATTGGTTATTCTCAAAACATAAATATGGCTCTTTTTTAATGCATTTATAAAAATAGTAGTAAAACAATTCCATATTATATGAACAAAAATTTCTGCATTTTATTCACTGTTAAATAAAACATTAAAACACTTATTTTATGCTATATTAAAAAAAATACTAAAAATGACAGAAAATGAGATAATTGTGTTGATATCATAATGTTAAACTATAACTCCTAGATATAAATGCTAATCTTGCTTTAGATGATAGTGAATTGACAAAAATTTATTTTACAGTCTCATTATAAGAAGTAGTTTATCGGCATATTAGGGTAGACAGAAAAACTAGTTATATTATTTGCAAATTTAAGAAAATTAGCTATAAAAATATTGTTGTTCAATTCGACAAAGTTGAATATATTTTTGAAATTTTTCAAAATAATTCCATAAATTTATTCAATTTAGAAAATGAAATTAAATAGAAACATATTTCCTATAAAATACATTTGCCAGATGGATATTATTATGCATGTGTAACGAGGTAACTTTATGATGATTTTATGATTAGAGGATTTAGAAATTTCAAGAAATTGTTAGTTTTTATTAATCATTTAAAAGTTAAAGTACATAGCTACGTACATAAATCAGATTTAAATATAGAGTATACTATATTAGATAGTTGTAACGTATAATTGAAATACTTTATAGCAAATAATATTTATATATAAATATAGATTTTGTTATTGTATTATACTTATGAATATATAGTATACTTTATGAATGTTTCAGAAACAACTGCTTCTAATACAACTAAGCTTGTAGATGTGTGTAAATACTATATTATAAATTCTAAACATACAAAATTACTTGTACTTGAAGCAGATGAAACCTACAGTTTTACTAATTGATACAATATAGCCATATAAAACTTATGTATACTCACTTATACAAATTAAGTATAAATAATTTGATCTAATCTAATCTAATTTAATACATTAATTATACTTATTACTAAAAATGTTTATATGTGAAAAAATATACAAAATTAAAAAATTTGAACAAAATATTATAATACAAAAATACTTAGATATCAAACATTCAAAAAATATTTAAAAAAAAAGTATGAATAACTTGAGGTATCATATGATGTTGAGCTAAAAGCTCTACATATAGTAACTCAAAAATTTAAAAATCATTACATTATACATGAAAAAATATTAAATAAAATTATTGAATCTAATATAAGTATAGTTTATTATTATAATTATTACTAAAAAGATAGCTAGATTTTTAGACAATTACAAATCAAATACAACTTCAACTAGAAAATTGCTTGAATTATCACTTTTTAGAGAAGATATTTTGATGACCTTCTCAGCTATCATTCTTTTTTTTATAAAAAAAAATTAAAATCAGAATAAAAAAATTAATTAATGTTCTTACATTTTTCTCACCATTATTATCTTATATTATAAATAAAAAATAATAAAAATATGAAATTTTCTAAAAACCATAGAAAGGATTTTTCTAAAAATGATAAAATTTTAAATTTTGCTACATCCTTCTTAAGTTTCTCAAAATTACAAAAAATTTGTTGACAATTAAAATAGAGTAACTTCTTTTGAATAGGAAGATATACAATAAATAAGACACATACTTTATAAAAGAGACTGTCTTCATTAATTTACTTTAATTTTTATATTTATCTTTAATATTGCATCTATCTTTTCATACAAAAATTACAATATAAAAAAATAGTATTATAAATCAATTTAAAATTAAAATTTTGAGAACTTTAGCCATTTTAACAAAATGATCCTTCGTTATATTATACCAACTTATTATGAATATGATAGCCCATTATTATTAAAAATATCATATATTTATTTAACTGATTATTTTATGTTATGAGAGATTATAGAGGTTTGAAAAAACTCAATATATAATATTCTGATAAATTTTTTAGAGAAGAAAAGTACAAGTAGTACAAGTAATATAAGTAGATAAGAAAAGTATACATAAATATCTAGGTTTATCTAACAGTCTTTACTTACTTTACCACTAAATATGTGTATTCAATAATTGTTTGATTTACATAATGCTAGGTCAGATTAATTTTTGTATATTGCTTATATATTCAAACTTCATTTATTTATATTGAATTTTACACTGAATGTTTTGCAACATTAAGTAGAGGAACTTCAACTCTTAATTAGTAAAGATTACTTCTGAACCAAAAAAATTCAATTTTAATATTTGTCAATTATTATTATTAATAACATGTATATTTATGAAAATTCATTTTCAATCCTTAATAATGTTTTACAAAATTAAACTTTATAAAAAATTAACTTATATTTTCTAATTTATATGTTTAAGGATAGTCATTATTAATTTGAATTAATATAAAAAATAATTAGAGTTCTATTAACAATTTTATATTTTCCTGATTTATTAAATCATATATATATAGTTGCTAAAAATTAATTTGATTTTGTAAATATATACATTTACTTAACTTGATTTAAACTTGATTTTAAAATTTCATCCACACACTATCTTTAAATAAGTATACATTCTAAACATTCTTAAACTGATTGGTGTTCTTGCTCTTCTATTATATTACTATTGATTAATTATTGTAGAATTCTCTGCTGTTCATATTATGTTAAAGTGGAAAATTCATGACAATAATTTATATGTAATTTACTTCTGCTATGCAGTTTATTCTGATAATTAACTAGATTGATAATAAATAGAAACGTGGAAATTAATTAATTAATCAAATTTATCAATGCAATATTTTATTTCTTTTTTAAATACAATGTATTATAACTAAAATATATATTACTTACTTGTAACATTGGGACATGATTTAATTGGTAAAATCCTATACACTTATTCTCATTTGATAAAATTTATCTCTTATTGCAAACAGAACTTACTTTAAAAAGGTATCTTCAAATGAAAATGTTTCAAGTTAATACTACCTTTTTTATAAAGTGCTGAGTTGAATTATGTGATATCTGTATACAAAGCATATTATAATAGAAAATTAAATTAAAATAAATGAAACAAATAAAAAAAAATGAGAGTAGTAGAGTAAGATTATTGTAAAAATAAATATAATAAAAACAAAAATCAAAAGCATAATTATGATGTATTAAATAAAAATATATTATTTCTGATAGCAGGAAGAAAAATAAACTGAAATTTAACTTGAAATGATACAAGATATAACAAAATTTAGAAAAATAGTTGTAGAAACTTATTCATTTATTGGCTTTACTATTAGTTGAATTGAAAGTGTAAATATATTAACATGAATCTATTAGATACAATATTTAATAGGAAAATAAAAAAAAAAAAAATTGTATGGAATTACATTCTATACTTACTAATTTTATATCTCGTTAAAATATTTTTAAATTTAATATATACTATATAAAAAATTAATTTAATTTTAAAAAGTATCAAAAACTTTATTTGTAAAAAAATTTAGAAGATATAAATGGAATTCTCAAATAAAATAGCATATTTATAATGAAAAACTTCTTTTTAACCTAAAACATCATTACGTTTATATTGAAAAGATAATATTTATAAACTAAATAATTAATATAATTATTTTTTAGAATTAATTAATAGTTAATTACTTATGAATATTTACAATATTTTACTATATAATTAAAATTTTACTTATCAATATCCACAGAAAAATTGTATTAACTTTGTAGTTATTAAAAAATACATATACAAGAAAGCATTGATATTGATAGCGTGTACGTATAGCTATTATTAGATATTTAGGGTATAATTAAAGAAATATAAATATATATACTTCTATCTGATGAAAAAAAAAAATTCTCATAAGTATAAGTAATTTTACATAAGAGATATAAATATGTCTAAATATGTAATAAAATAATTTATTTTAATGTAATAGAAAAATAAAAAAATAGAAAAGGGAAGAAAGTCTTCATAAGACTAGAGGATTATTTTGTTTATGATCTACATATATCTAATTGGTTCAAGATTTCTCTCATAAGGACAAGAAAACATGTATTGAAAACATTCATAATACAATACACCGAAAAGCGAAGTAAAATTTGTTGGTCCATATATTAAAAATTTCCCAAATACTTTTAAGTAAATACTTACATTATTTGAAAAACTTTTTAGCAGTTATAAATATATTTTGTCGATTATACAGTTAATAACTTAAATAAATTATTTTCAGCTTATACCGTCAATTATGAACACTTTTTACTACTCACTAATTGAATCTAATGAATTATTTTACACAATTACTTCTTATTTCATAATTTTATACGTATTTTTATATATATATACCACTATTATGTTTTTTGGGAGTTTTTTTTTTACACTTATTACAATATAAATAATATTATCCAATTATACTAAATGAAATAAACACATTTCATTGTAGTTTTCAGATTACATCTTTATTTTTGTTAATATTTGTTTATATTGTAATAAGTGTAAAAAAAATTTATTATATTTTTATTATATTATACTTATTATATTGTATATTTATTATATTTATTATTATACTTATTATATTGTATATTATATTATTCTTTTTATTCATTTATTTGATTATCAATGCTTAAATTTACATAAATTAATATAATAAATAAAAATTATAAATTACAGGAGTACTTGTGAGTTATTCAAAGTAACATATTGAACAATTCTATTAAAATTTTTATATAAATTCGTTCATGCTGATTTCATTCTCGTCTTGCAATTATAATTTTTTAATTATATGTGAGAAAAAATACAACATGAAAATGATTATGTGCTTAATTTTATTAATTTTTACAATTGTTGGTGCACAAAATCCTGCAGAATCTAGCAGTAACAATTTTTTTCCTTATTACAATACAAAGACTGCTTATGAAAACGTTCATGGTAAAATCACAAAACCTAATTCGGGTAAGTAATTAAAATAATTATAGACTGTACAATATATTAATTTCAAGTTTTAATAAATATTTATATATAAAGAAGTAATATTGTTAGTTTCAAAATATTTTATTTTTTCTCTATTTATTTGAATATATTTAATATTTTATATATGCCAATTATATATCATTGAAAAGTTTTATATATGTATTACAATAATTAATTTATTTCATTTTCGATTTAAAATATTTAAGGCACAATGGTAACCAATGTCATACTAAGGAATATATAGCGATATATTTATTTATACGTGATAAACTTGTAATTTATTTATTAATATAAATTCCCTGTAATTTTCTGATTAAATAATATTTTTTAATTTCTTATTTATTTTTCAATATTTTATTAAACATTTTGGATTTATTGAATAATTATTTATTATTTTTATTACTTTTATTTTTTGCATGATTATTGTAAAAAATTGTAGAACAGATGATGATTTCTTGTTTGTCTTTTTCTTATCATTTATTTTATTATTATTTAATGTATATATTTATGTGTAGATTATCTTTTTTTTTAATTTATGAAGTAATATAAAATAAAAAATAACATTTTTCAATTTCAGTCTGTTTTTGTATTTCTGAAAAATTTTACTGTTTTGAAAACTCCATTTTAATCGTTGTCCAAATAAATAATTAAATAACTTATGGGTCTTCCTGTATTATATCCATAACTACTATATCGTTGAAATAAAACAACTAATTCCGTTAATATTTGTTTTAATTTTTATATTTTCACCCAGTGGTTTATTCCTGATATGGTGTTTTTAGTTGGTTACTTCATATTGAATATTCTAGTTCTTAATTTTGAATGATGAATGAATAATGAATAATGAAAAAAATAATGTTTATTAATAAATTATTCTTAATTTTTTTATTTATTTATTTCTAACTAATTAATTTTTTTATAAGTTTTCTTCTTCTTAGACTCATTGGTTCGTGTGAGATTATATAGAGCTGTATAATTATTGATTTGAATAAAAATAACTAATATTTTTATTGCAATTATATCTAGTGTGTTTAGTATATTAGATTATAAAGTGTAATGATAAAAAACAATCTCAAATTCATTAAAGATAGCAGATATGTATAATTTCTTAATCTCATTTGAAAATTTCCTATTTTTTCTCATTTTTATTAATTAGTATTCACTGAAATATTTGCATTATTATATTGGCTATATAGGATGATTGTTTGACATTATAAAATCTGAACTGCACACAGTGATAAATTTTATCGTTGAAAACATTTATTAAACTAATGTTTACCGTATTTCATAATTTTCAAAACTTACATTGTGAACATAGTCTTTTAGATGGATTAAATAAACAACAATTATTCGAGGATAATTATTTGGATTTTTAAGATGATATTCTGTTTTCTTAAAGCCGACTTGTCATTTTCACTTGCATATATTTTTTTTTAATAATTGAATTTTTTTATAATCTGAACTACTTAATTCATATCTATTAGAAATTATTCTGTCCATTTTATGTTTCTTTTACTTCTTTAAAAAAAAACTCATACTTTCCCTTATACATCTGGTAATCAAGTAATCCTTGCAAACCGCACTAAGACAAAACGTTCATTAACAGACTTTTTTATAGTATAAAAAACATACATATTTTTGTTTCTCTTTTCTTAAACACGTATTAAATATGCATAAATAGTTATACATGGCACATAAATAAATTATTAGAAATTATATTATTTATAAAATTATTAATTTAAAATTAGTTTAATGTTTCAAATTTTTTGTTAAATAAATTGTAGATTGCAAACCAGTACAAATATGGATGCTTATACGACATGGAACACGATATCCAAAGGAAAAACATTTGGCTAAATTTATAAAGTTGAAAAATGTACAAGCTGAAATCCTTCAGAATCATAAAAATAAAGGTAATATGCTTATATTCTGTTTACATTTTTATGATATATATATATATATTTATAATATTCAATGTATATATTCTAACTAAGGAACTAAATATAATTCGACAATTATTTACATCCTTGCAAATATAATAAATTGTAAATAGTGAAATAATATAAAGAATTGTGTTATGTAAAATTATAACTTGTAGCATAATATAAAGAGTTTAATTAAGCCACGGTCAATTGTACTCATAATCTTAAATCTATATTAAATACACTAGGTACAGGATTATTAAATCTTGGCTCGAAGACAGACAGTTAATCAAAAGCATTGTTAGTAGGGAACAGAATGACATAGAAAAATTATAAAACAGAATCAAATACTAATAAATAATAATAAATCACAGGTTTTAATACTTAATCCTAAATCAGGATGGAAATAGTAATATAGAATAACATGTATAGGGTGGGTACTCAATTTATGAAGGCGCATATCTTTGTTCTATTTAATAATCCTATTTCTAAATAAAAGAAATACGATTATTTGAATGAAAAGCTTAGAGACTGTAAATAACTGATTAAATTCAATTATAGTCACATATAAATATATGAATAAAAAGAGACTATAAATGTTAACACCTACTAATAATGTTTAGTTAAACTTATATCTATTTATAAATAAATAGAAATTGAGGTAATTGTCACATGAGAAAATCTACTATTTTTTAGCGGACGGAAAAAGAGAGTTGATAAGATAAGAGGATTAATGTTTCAGAGTAGAGGAAAATTTAAATAAGTAATTAAAAATTAGAAAATAATAATTACTAAACATCAATATATATAAATGAACAATTAATACATTGTTATGAATATTTAATAACTTGAATATTAATTATATTAATAAACAAACTACCAAGTATCTTAAATATTATAATTATTGGTCATTTACAAAATTAACTGAAAATTAGTTTAATTTTTTATTTACTAGGAAAGAAATAAAATTTTATCAATTTTTGAAAATTCAAATTATTATTAGTTTTTATTCTGTTTTTTTTAATATTTACTACACCCACTCAACAGAATAAAATTTTTATTGGCTAAAACATAAAAATATTTCAATATTAGAGTATATTGGTTTATCTATATACTTCATTTTATATTATAATAAATTAATATAATAATTTATTATTATCTATTATATAATATAAAATAATAATATATAATATAACTACATTTTTATTAAATTAAATCTGTTATTTTTAGTATATTTTTGGTCTGTATATTCATATAATCTATCTTATATATATTCTATATGCTCATTAATCAATTTGAAATATGTAAGTTTCCATTTTGGCTTTAGTATTAACATATTACAATTTTTTATAAAATTTCATTTTATTAATTATTGTATTTAATTAATTGTCCCTATAAAACAATTATTTATGCAACTCTGAATATCCAGGTAAAGAAAATATTAAATCGTAAATAAAAATTCATAACAAATTCACTCGTCACAAACTGATAAATACATAGAAATACATAGATTGTTTCTTTAATATTGTACAATTTTAATAATTAATTATTGATAATAAATAATAAATAAAATTAAATTAAAATAACAAATAAATAAATAATAATCATTTAAAATTTTTTTCATACCTAACGAGCTTAAATTGTTAAAAACTAGGCTGGAAACTTGAAGTAGAACTAAATTGATTATTAATTAAAATATTATTATTTAATTTCAAAGTCCTACAATAAATAAAATGGCAATAATCTTCCTTTTACAGCTGGTCAATTAAATCTTAAGACCTTACAAGCATTAAGCAAATGGAAATTAGATCCAAATGTTAATGAAAGGACGGCTGCAATTTTAACGCCTGGAGCAGAAAAAGATATTCGTTCTTTAGCCAAGCGTTTACAATCTGCGTATCCAGATCTTCTAAATGTTAACACTAAAAAAATTAAGTCTACTGATTATATAGTGCGTATTATTATAATATTCAAGTAAATTAAAGAATTTGAATGAAAAGCAATAATCAAGTTTTAAATGAATGATATTTAAAATTTCTATAATATTATTTTAACAATATGTAAGTAATATTTTTATGAAAAAACGAATTTTTAAATAACGAATTATAAATTAAATGTATTCGATCAAATTTAAAAAATAATTGATTAGAGATATCTATTGTTTAACTTTTAAAATATCAATAACTTAAACATAAACCTACACTATATTTATTTACGTTTAAAAACTATATCCAACACGAATTATATAAATATTAAAATTAATATCCATGAATTTATTAAACATTTTCCTAAATTCAGCGTACTAATATTAAAAAAAAATACCGCTCAAAATGTAAAAAAAATAATACCAAAATACCTCAATATTTTGAAGTTAAGAAATCGTTAATTTATATTTATAAAAACATACATTAATAATATGTCTGTATGTACAATGATATATTATTATTCGGATGATTAAAATGCGGTAGAGTAGCACTGGAATTCTAGAAGTAATAATTAAATATTTAAGATATCTCGTGTCAATTTATTCGAATTGGATTTAATAATTTGAATATGATTTAGCAGTAAACAGTGATTTTATTGATTTATAATGTAACTATTTTATAAATAGTCTCAATAATTTAATTTAATCAAGAATTTAATTCTTCAATTATTAACTGTGTATATTCAAATCTTAATATTGCCATCAAAAGTTTATAATTTTTTCTTTTAGAAAATTTAAGTATTTTTTTCATGTACTTAAATTGATTAAAATTTTGCTACAAATCTTTCAAAGTCTGTCGCAATTTCTATGTGCTATTTAAATAAGAAATTAAAAATAATTGTTTTTGTGAAATTAAGAAGTACTTTAAACAATAGCAATTCTTACATTAATTTTTGCGGCTTGATTTTATGTATTTGTTCCAATTTCCATTTTATATTTTTGTTTACTTCAAAATGTAAATTCTATAATTGTTTTAGGTAACATTTATATGATTATTTGTTCATTATTAATGAAAATGCCTTTAATGATTATATTTTATATTTAATTGAAAATTACAAAATCTTTTAACAGTGGTTTCGTGCATATTTAATCACACATATTATCGATTAACACATATTATCGAACTATTAATAGATTGCAATACAAATTTTAGCAATTTTTGATATTTTAGTTCAACTTTAAGATAAAACATTACAATGTTGTAAGTAATATTTTAGTTGTAAGCATTTTTGTATTTCATAATTTATTCATTGACGTAAGCTCACTTTAATTTTATTTCATTATATTTTCAATATATTTACTAACAATATTCAATACTTATCTGTCATAGTTTTAAGAGTTTTGATAGAAAGCAAACGTGAGTTATTTCATTTCATGCATTTATTTATTTTTAATCATCTTCAGATATTAACAAAGTCTAAGTAATAAGTTTCAAAATTTCAATAAGCTTTATTGTTTTTCATATTTCCTTGATGCAGTAAATATAAAAGACCTTATTATACAGTTTGTTACTAAATTATTGTTAAAATATATCATTAAAATCCATTGCATTAATTCTAAGAATAATTTTATATTCAAATAATAATTTCATAATTTTATTAAAAATTTCAAATATAAAATAAATAATATGAAATATTTATTTGTTTTTACAGTTTCGGGCGACTAATACTCCACGTACTCGGGATACTTTAAATTTCTTTCTTACCACTCTTTTTGGTAATTCCAATATTATTACTCCTGCACAACCATTGGCCGAAGATACACTTTTAACGGTATATATATATCCAAATAAATTTATTTATTTTTAAAGAAATTTTAATATTATTTATAAATGTATTTAAAATGTAGACATCAATAAATAATTTTAATACTGTAGTAAAATTCTAGTGAAAATATTTGAATCTTCTAATGAAACTTCTATGAAATTATTTTGTAAGTATATTTTTGTCACATCGAGGAATCTATTATTTGAATTTAATATAATTTAATATAAATTAAAAAATTTTCAAAAATAATTTAAAAATTAGAAATATGTTTTTATAAGTTCTTTATTGTTGGAATTAAATCCTAAAAAAATATATATATAATGCAATTATGTAATTATATTTATATTATGCAGTTCAATAAAATTATACAAGATGCACATGAAGTGTAAACAAATAAATAATCTGACAAAATTAAAAAATTTTTTTATAAATGATTATTGATAACTATATTTACTTATATACTTACTTATATACTATATTTAATATAATTACTTTTTATAACAATTATTTCTACTTGTAACATGAAATATAAATGCATTTTGTAAAAATTTATTTATAAATTTAAGATGAACCGTGGAATTATTTTTAAGTATTAATGTGCTCAATATTTTTTTATTTTACGTGTTATATGTAATAAACATGTGCAAACGTTAATTTAAGTGATATTATATTTTCTAATTTTTATCACCATTTCTTTGATATAATGCAGTTTTTATTTTTATTAATAAATGTAATAATTAATATTTGTATGAATTAACTAATAATTGCAATAATTACATATTGTTTCTATTTCATAAAATTGATTTATGCTATCGTTCAAATTGTTTTAATTTATTGAATAAATTAAACTCTATATTTTTTAGTCTTTTAAGGTTTTAAGATCCTTTCAATCATTTAAATTTTACATGTATAACAAAAATATATCACATATACTAATAACCTAATATTAGATAATATTCCCATAACAGTAAATTAGTTTATTATATTAATATTTTAAGCTAAATTTAATATATTCAAACTCTTTTCTGTTTTATTATGTATTAAATATTAGGTAAATAATATCTTTCATATAAAATTATTCCTATATGATTATTTTATTTATAACAATTAATAATTATAACTCAAATTGTTATAATTGTAAAACTTCAAAGTTCACATTTATAATATATTTTTATAAAAAGTCGAAAATTTATTAATTTATTTTGTATATTAAATTATATTTCATAAAATTGTAACAGTACTTGTCTATTCTAGGTATTGTTATCTTAAGGCTTAAAAAGCTTAAATATAGATATATATAGATTAAATATATTAAATGTATTGTTATAAAAATATAAATATAAACTCACAAGGTGAAAAGTACTGTCTTCAAAGTATGTAATTTGGTGATAGTATTTTATAAAATAATCATTTTTGTTATAAAATGAGTAACTAGTAATACGCATTTCGCGAGTTTTCACCATCGTTTAAAAATATCTTTAATCATTTAAAATATTGAAAGATGTCATAATTTTATTGAAAATATAGTTGGTGCATTCGATAATATCAAAATTTTTATAATGTAGTTAATTATATATGATATGATTGTAGTTCAGATTTAGAAAAGAAAATCAAAATCAGGATATAATTGATGTACCAAAATATATGGTTTCTGAAAAGTGATTTACTTGAAACTATATATTCAATAAAGTAGTCGATAAAGAGTAACGAAAAATCATAATGTATTTTTTTCAAATATTTCGAGTGATATAGGAATTTGGAACACGAATTTACAACTTGAAAACAGCATGGATTCACTTTATGTTGGGAGCAAGGTTTTTGTTTATTGACGTATAATTAATATTAGGTACAGTCTTATGTTATTTGTTTTATTTCAATTCACATTCAGGAACGTACTGACAATGCGTGTATATGACTTTGTGTTATTATATTAACAATCGTCATGCCATTTACCTCTTTTATGATGTACAAGGTAGCATGTGTATTATTAATATTTTTTAATGTATAATTGCATCATTTTATAACTAATATAAAATTTAATATATATTAATATAAAATAAAAAAATAAATAAAATTAGATAATTTCCGAATTGAATATACATATAAAAATATTATTCTAATTTTGTAGAAGATGAACAAATATTTAATGAAATCTATAATTTTAAAATAATGGTGTAATTATCTTATTTTTTAATGTTTTAAAGAAAAAATTGAATTATGATTAATATCGAAAATAGAAATAAAAATATCAAATATAAATCTAATTTTTCTAAATATATAATTCTACTAATGCATTACCCATAAAGCATGCTATCGGTTTTTTTATGAAAATATGCAATAAGAATCGGTAGATTTCGTAAATGATAACTATTTGAAAATTAACTTTTATTTATTATTATGTTACGTTGACAATGCATAATTTTTCAGATAATAAAGATATAGATCATTTTCTTTAAAATATATAAATTATACTACTTATATGTATACGAATGTCACTTCTAAATACTATTTAATTTCTTCAATCACCTTTTACTTGGTATATTAAGGAAATTTCATACAAATGAAATTAATACATCTAATATCAAAATTTTGTCTGATTTTAAGCGACTCATTTAAATTATATTACGAATTTTTCGAATAAGTTATACTTATCACAAATGAAATTTATAATGAACTACAAAAGTGGTCGTCCTTTTTATATATAAATAATACAAAAATTAAATTACAGCTTTAAAAAAAATTGATAAAATGGATAAAATAAGTATTATACTATCTTCAAAAATACAGGTTCTTTTACTATACAGTTATTTTTAATCGAAAAATATCTTTGCATTACAGGTTAATTGTTTAAAATGTTTCAGTTATAGATTAATCGTTCCAAAACATATACAAAATTTGAACTTTTAAAACATCTAATTTTTACTTGAAAATAAATATATATCTATGTGTATGTGCGTGTGTGCGTAATAATATATATTTAAGAAGTTTTTTATCTTTTAAAAATCTATTTCGTTTTGGTAATGGATTAGTAAGAATTAGTAGCCCACTAAAGCATTCCTTATTATGTTAAGATTCAATATACCTTAAGATTATATTATGCAATTATCATATATTAAAATATATAATTAAGAACATTTATTAAAGTAAGTTTCCAAAAGAAGTTAATGAATAAATGAATTAATTATTAATAAATATTTTAATATTAGTAGCTTCATGTTTTATTAATTCTACGAATATGAATAATTTCTTTTATAATTATATGAAATTGTTTCTCATAAACAAATATTCATGGAAATTACGTTGCATATATCTTTTCTATACAATAAAATGTTAATTCATTCGTTCTATCATATTATAAAGATATATGTGAAATATTTGTCAAATCAAATAAATTCAATAGATTTGAGAACTCAGGATTATAATACTTAATCATTAAATGCACAATTATTTCAGTTTCGCTTTTACTTGCTTATAATGAAATTAATATTACAATAAATGTATTTTAATTACAGAGAGAAGTTTGAATTACTTATTAACTTTTCACTTTCATTTTCCAGAGCTGAAAACTCTGATAATTTTTAGATAATGCTATTAATGATTTGACTTAAGTATATTATATATTGCAATGAAGTTAATATAAGTAATTGTATTCTATAATTTAATATATATTATTACAATTTTTGGTATATTACAGTATTATATTATTCCATAATTTTATTTTCATTCAATTATGAATGTATAGATTGAATTGTTTTCGATACAAATTGGACAGAGTAAATTAATGAAACCATAATATGGTCTGTATAAGATATATAATATTTTATCTAATATTATAAGTAACAAACTACGATAAATACTTATTTAGTTACTCGCTGACATTAGAATTTGCAATCATTTTATGAAGATTTTAATGTCAGAATATTATTAAATTTATAAAATTTTAGTTGTTTAGAAAAAATATTTATTTTAAAAAATATTGAATTGATATATCAGGAAGCTTGAATATATATAATTAGTAAAAATTAAAAAATAAAATAAATTTTTCTTCATTTACGTTAAAAAACATTATTTTCTAATACTTTAATTTCATTTAATAATTTTTTTAATTTGTAGCCATTCAAGTATTGTTCAGAATGGAAATTTAGCCCTGAAGCAACACACTCTAAGGATGAAAAAAAAAAATTTCAAAATGGTCCTGAAATAAAGAATTTAAAGAATACTATGACTAAGAGACTTGGATTTAATCATACAATTGAATTCGGTAGGAAAAATAATCTTAATTTTAACTTTAAATGAACAGAAAATCATATATTTAAAATTATTAAACAGTATTAATAATATTTATATTTATAACATTTTATTTTAAATGTTTATAAATATTTTTAATATTATATTTCAACAATTAACTATTATTGGTTATTTTTACATCCAAAAATACGTCTATTATATAATATCTAACAAATATCAAATAATTTCTATAGTTCATATGTATAATTCATATTAATTTTAAACTATCCATACATTTTTTTCATATTTTGTCTACTATAATTAATATTTAAATATTGATTGCAATTAGCAGAGTTTTTAAATCACTATGCTCACCGGAAGTACTTTTCTTTGTAAATTTCTTACGGAATTATATGAAATAATATCTTTCCTATTAAGCTTCATTTATTTAGTTTATTTCAGTTTCATCATAAAACTTCCTACTATAAAATATATAGGTTGTATAATAATAACAGGTATTGTATCATTATTAAGTGCTACTTGCATTCCTTGAAATAATCTTAATTTGAACTCAGATCAACATTAATTTAATTATTCTTTTTTATTTTAAATCTTTTTTCTCAATTTTTCTTGTATTTGAATTCTAACATTATCGTTAATCACATAATAAACTTTCTTTAATAATATTTTTATCATACTTAAGTATGTTGAATATTATACATAAAATATAATATATATACTAATAATTTTTTGTTATAAATTTATATATAATAAAATCTGCTTCTATGTAAAGTCATATCATTATTCTTTATTTAAAGTTTTTATAGTTCAAACGATCAAAATATATGATTAATTTTTGGAAATTCGATATATTTTTTAAAATTCTTAATGTCTTTTAAATCAACTATATTACAATATTTTATATATATACTACTTTTATAGCCAAGCCATTCTCTAAAGAAAATTTCGATCACATTTCTAGTTTATATACCAAGGGTATGAGTAAATATCAACTACAAATCAAATATTTTTTATGAATACTTCTTTGGAATACCATCCAGCTGAATGATCCGAAGACCAAGTTGGTTGGATTAGACCGTACCGCCAGTTTAATGGTGGAGAAGAGGGGATAAGTGAGAGGTTAATGCATTAGTTCGGTGTAAACTCAATTGGGTTTTAGTGACTTTTATTTAAGGTTATGTGACATTGGGAGTTGTTTTTCCCAGTCGTAGCGAGAATTGTTGAGCTCGTCGTGATTCCAACAGTAGGCCACAAGCTGTAGAACGTCGCCAAGGACTGCAAGGTAAAAACGGGGCTGATTATACTGGGCACGCTTTGTTTTTCTTTATGAGGGAGAGAATTGCAAGAGGCGCGAAGCCATAAGCGCTCTCATCGGCGATGATTAGTGGGGAGACTATCTAACAGTATCGGCGCCCTTTTCCGCAGTCTGATAAGTATCAAGTTGCAGAGGCCTGACCGATAATGTCGACACTGTGCCGCAGTAATGATAATGTAGCTAAGGGTTACCAGACAGTATCGGCGCCCTCTTCAGCGGTCTGTTAATAATGAAGTTGTAAAGGCCTCAAGGATAGTGTCGGCACTGAGCCGTAATAACAATAAACGATGATAAGTAGCTTGCTGGTGATTCCAGACTATGTCGTCGCTCTCAATCCGGTCTGACTAGGGTCAAGTTGCGGAGAGCGCACCGATAGCTAGCCAGCTATAGGTAATAAATAATGTAAACAAATAAGTATACCTTGCACGGATTCCCGTAGACAGATATGTAGAAGTTTCAACTGTTATGACTTGCACTATTTCACTTTGACTTACTCAACAAGACTGATTTTCTTCGCCGTCTGTTGCTCCTTATATATTATTTCGTACATTTAGAGTTAGTAATTCTTGGAGATTCTGTTAAATTCTCGGAAAGCAAGCTTTAGTTGGTTCGAGAATCTTCCTTTGCCGCTATTTGGATACGGTATAAGGCTTTAAATACATCGAGAATTTTCGTAGCGACTACTTCAAATATTATGCATTATAATAAATTTAAATGTAATGGAATCATATTATAATAAACAATAAATTTTTTATTGTTGGTGTCTGGGATCAGACTAAAAACCTCCCTTTGATGTTGGGTGGAGGTGTTGCTGGCAAGTGCAAGGGGCAATGCAATTATTCAATACTAAATGCAGTGTTCCTTTTCATTCCTTTATTAAATATAATAATTTAATAAATAGTTAATGATCATAAAGTGAATGAATGAAGGTGTGAGCGAATAATTTGGGGAAGTTTCTTCAATAGTTTTACGTGCTGAGGAGAGTGTGTATGCTCTCCGTGATGTGAGGAGTGACTCCTTCCCTTCCGAGAAGTGCCGCTGTAGTAGTATGCGTGTGAGCCGCCGCTGTTGTACCGCTGCTGCCTAAGTGAGACTGGGTTGCTTCTGCCTTTGTGTCGGTGCGTAGGAACTGCTGCTGTTGCACCGAAGCTTTCTTAGGGTCGGTGCAATCCGTTAATATATGTAGTATGATTCGATAATTTCACTCTTGATTAAGTTAGAAGTATCGCGTTATTCGTTAAGTTTGATTAGCGGATTCTAAAATGTGGCTTCACTATTGCATAGTCAAATTGGTTACTGGTTGAACAATGACGCACGTGTGTATCTACAGTGAGTGATGACTGTAGAAAGAAGTTTGAAGACGGAATAGTGAGCTGCTATGTTATTGAGTAATCGTTATTACGCTAGACTGAGACTGCGATTGAGAGAAACCCTCGATTGTGAGTTCATCGTGATGACTGCGTAATCGTTATTACGCTAAGCTGCGACAAAGACTGACTGGCGCGTGGCAAGCGCAGCCCTTAAATATTCTCGTAGTAATTTTTAGGCGCCGGTAGTGATCCGGTGTCTGTTGCTATGCCGGTATTTGTCGTAACACCAATAACACATAGTTATTTGGAAGTTTCATTGTTTTAATTCTTCGGAATTATAGTCGTATATTCGGGTTTTCGGCGTAGAAACATTATTCGAGTTCGTTGGCTCTCGAGTAATGAATGGCACTTCCTTGTTGTTGTCGTTCCAATGGATTCCTTGTAGGTCCTAGTTGTCCTTATGAACTTGTATCTGCAAATGGCGATGTCGGTGGATCTCGATTACCGCGTCTGACGTTTCTTTCTTCTTTTTGAAATTGGCACGAATGTTCTTGATGTCATTAAGACGATTGCATTATCTCTTCGGTTGAGGGCTATGATGACCTACAAATGTTGGGTTGGACTCGAGTACTGTTCGTCATATAGTGGTGTATGATGCCGCCCAGCGCATCTGTTGCATTTTCTGGGGGTAGTGCACTTGTAAGTGGAGTGGAGCGCTAAACCAGTTGGATCATAGTCGTTGCTCTTCCTTGAAACACTTTCTCTCCGTGACTGAAAATTGTTTAAGACTGGTCACAGAATACTGCTGTTGGTAATACGTGCATATGGTAGTCACTTGACGTTCTCCTTGCCCTTGGAAAGTCGTTGTAATAGGTGATTGGTACGTTCTCACTGATCCTTTTGTGGATAGTTATGTCTGGGTACGGCTTCCCATTGAAGCAACTCGTTTTTTATTTTTTTGTAACGCTCTCACTTTTGTTATTATAAATGTTCTTTAATTGCTCGAACTTGGGTTAGGTGTTGGATTCGCCTAGTGATTTTTTCCAGTGTTTTCTTATACGCTAAGTGAGTCTGCGTTAGTTGATGGACAGTTATGCAGTCCCACGAGTTTATTTCCCCTTCTAATTGTTGCAGCCCCATTAATGGTCTTTTGCCTCATAATGAGGTCTTCTAGTGATTCAGCCTCATCTTCTACTCGTGATGTGTTGGCACAGAGTTGATCCAAGTGGGATTGACTGTACAATCGCGAATTTTCATACAATTGCGATTTCCAATTTTTAGGTGGTTTTTGAGCTGACTCTCTTACTTCCCAACGCAGCTTGTCGAGTGCGGCTTGTACGCGGTTGTAGCTCCAGACTTCTTCTCCTTGCGTATTCTTACAAATTATTCATGGTATATCAGGGCTGCTGGCCATGAATCCTCTAACTAGATTTGTTTGGAATTCCAGCCAACAGTGTGATCGCAGATCAAGGTGGGTTGATTAAACCGTTGACTTGGCGCTGGCGGTGTGGTGGGGGGGGGGGGGGGGGGGGGGGGGTTAACGCATCAATTCATTGTAAACACGATTGGTTCTAGTGACCTTTATTTATGTGACAGTGGTAGTTGGTGGTACCAATCTTAATGAGAATTGTTGAGCTCGTCGTGATTAGATAGTTGACCATAAGCTATAGAACGTCGTCCGGGAGTGCAAGGCTAGGGAGGCATTGCTAGTACTGTGCAGTGTTTTAATCCCTACTTTTGAGGGAGCATCTTCGGTTAGCGAATGCTTAGGCGTTTAATTCGGCGATTGATTTTACGGAGTGTTGTCCGGCTGTCAAATTCATAGTGGGGACTATGAAAGGATTATCGACGTCATCTTCAGTGGTCTGATAAGAACCAAATTGCAGGGGCCTGATCGATAAGGCCAAGGCCATGCCGTAGTGACGATAGCGTACCCAAGGCTATCTGACAGTATCGGCGCTCTCTTCCGCGGTCTGGTAGGAATCAAGTTGCAGAGACCTGACCGATAATGCCGGCATTATGTCGTAATAACAATAAATGATATAAATAGATTGATGCCAGACTATACCGACGCCCTCAATTCTGTCTGATAAGTGTCAAGTTGCGAAGTGCCCACTGCTAGCTGCCAACAATAAATAATGTAAACAAATAAACAGACCTTGCACAGATTATCGTAGACAGACGTGTATAACTTTAACTGAATGTGGCTTGCACTATTTCACTTACTCAACAAGAATAATTTGTATCGACGGACGCTGTTTTTTATATGTGGTTGCCTAGATTTAGAATTTACAATTTTGGGACATTCTGTCAAATTCTCGGAAAGTGAGCTTTAGTCAGTTTGAGAATCTTCTTTAGTTACTATGCTGATAAATTGTAAGGCAAAGGCTTTAACATTTTTAACATTTTTAACATTTACCAAAATTTTTCGTAGCGAATTTTTCTTATATTACGAATTGTAATGCCTTTAAATTTCATGGAATAAAATATTATTGTTGGGTGGGTCAATCCTAAAAAATTACAAAATTTGTAATTGATACTTAATACGATAATAACAACCGTAGATCTTAACTGCAATAGGATACTCAATTTTATTCTAAATTCAGAATAAAAGTAAACAATCTTTATAATTTATTGAGATATAAGTACATTTATTTAAAAAATATTTTGTATTAAATGTATATAAAGCTTCAATTATATAATTTAATGTCAAATATATAATTTAATGATATTTTATTTAAAAACTATAAATTAATATGATTCTATAATAAGTTCAAATTAAATTCTTTCGTTTCTAATGGTTTGTAAAGCATTTAGTTTGTAGATCTCTGGGTCGTTATTGTATCTGTTTTTAAAAATATTTCATTACTATAAATTTTGGATACAAAAAGATTAATTATTGTAACATTATTTTCAATTTATAATAATCATTGAAAATCAATTTGTATTATATACTAAATAAATATTTAAAACCCAATTGTGAAAAATAATTAAATTATAATATAAATTTTTAATAATAATGTATGTTATTATAATAATTATTAGATATTATAGAAACGATACATAAAATGTGTGGCTTTGAAATATCCTGGTATTCGAAAAAGCAATCAATTTGGTGTGCATTGTTTACTGTCGATGAATTAAAACTTCTTGAGTTTTATCAAGATCTAACATCATATTACCGTGTTGGTCCTGGTCGCCCAATGAGTGCTAAATTTGGTTGTAGAATGGTAAAAGACATGTTGCAACATTTCAAGTACGTATATATTGTCGATTAATTAAAAGTATAATTTTTTGTTTCACTTATTTTATTTTTCTGGAGTCTAAAATAATTTCCTATTCTGTTATATACAAAATAGTAATAAAAATTATAAAATAAAATATTAAATTAATTAAAATACTAATTCTAATATTAAAAATTATATCTTATATATTATGTCAATACAACAATGATATAATTAAATAAAATTCAACTAAAATAGTTTTCTCTGAATTTTATTTAAAAAATTTAAATGGCAATCTAAATTAAATCATTTATTTGTGAATGTTGGTGATATAAACTTTCTAAATTTATCATTACAAAACATTAACAACTAGTATTTTTTAAGTTATTGCTTAGAGTATTTAATTGTCATTGACTATTTATATAATCATTTAAGATTAGTCTGTTAATAAAAATTCTAAAACTTCATTAATCAAATGTACTCTTCCTATTCATAAATTGGTCCAAATTAAAAACATACTAAGGTATGTTATTAATAGCATGATATATGTGTTTAATAGAGATCAAAGTAATGGCTAATCATAGTATAGGTCGAACTATATTTCTTTAAAGTTTTGTCATTTGTATGAACATTCTTAAATGAAATCCAACGCCGTGATATTTTTGTCGCAATTATTTTTACAATTATTTAGAATAGAACAATTAACTTTCTGACAAAATGTCAACAATACACCACCTGCAAACATCTCTAGTATTATATTTACTACTTCTTTTTTTAATACATTCAAAATAATTCTTACTTGTTATAATTACTATACTATTTTTAATGTGGTAAATGTTTTTACTTTCAATTTTGATTACAGTGATAGATTAATAAAATGTACATTTAAGCAATTGTTTCATTTGAGTTTATCAATAAAATATTTTAATTAATTTTATCATTTTAAATGAAATAATTTCATTCTGCCGTATAATATATACTATGCAATTTAGTTATTTATTATATTATAGCAGGACGATTTTTCGTATTTTAATTTTTGCTTAAAATTATAATCGGTTATAGTAAAATTTACAAAATTTGTAAATAAATAACGATAAATATTTAATATTTATATTACTCAAATATGGATCGGATTTTATTTGAACTTCTCATATGTATCCTCTCATTATTTATATATCATATAAAATCTTCATGATTAATTTTATTTAATATAGCAATTTATGTCATTATCTATCAATTAATCTAATGTCTCCTTTTTGTAATATAGTAGTATTTCTGTTCTATTTATATAATTTATTTTATCTGGCGAATATTTTTATATTTCAATGTTCAAACTATATTACAATTATAAATCGTTCATATTAAATTATATGTATTCACACCAATGTGCAAATATTTGATATTGTTACCATTTCTCCTAATTTATATCATTTTATGTTTATATATTTAATTTTCGCGTTTAATCTAGCCCTTGATGAGACATTTATCTACTATATAATATTATTTTACATTTAGTTTTAACTTATTTCAGGAAAATTGAAACAGGAAAAAGCACTAATGAACCTAAAGGTATTTTCTATTTTGGACATTCGTCAAGCATTCAGATATTTTTAAGTGCATTTCAAATTGGTAAAGAGCCAAAACTTACATCAACATCTTATAATTCTATTGAAAATAGAGCATACCGTACTTCTCTCTTAGTACCATTTACAACAAATATCATCGCTACACTTTATGAGTTAATAAAAATTATTTAAAATTTTTTATTTTATTATTCTTGAAATTAAGGCATAATGAAAAATCGAAATGATACTCTATAGATTATGATAATTTAACAATGATCAAATTATCATCTAATATTTTTGATGTCAGAATGCTCTTTTAATTATACTTTTCATTTCTATGAATTCTTTAGTAATACAATTTAACATCGGTATAAATATACTTTATATTCAAATTATAATATTAAATGAATTAATAAAATCAATATATTTTATATAAAATAATAAAAAATATTTATATAAATAAATGTTATAGAAATTTCATATCAATGTTAAAACAGCAAAAAAATTAAAAGAGATTTTGAATTAATTTAATTACAATGTTGAACTAAATAATCCGTAATTTCTTAAATAAAAATATATTGGATTATATAATTATATTTTTTATTTAAAACTTTAGTTAACTAAGTAAAATATTGAAACTGAAATAATAACTGTTATTAATTTAATTTTGTTTCTGTAGACAGTTTAAAACTTATTTTTAGTATATAAAATTTAATTTCTTAAAAAATAGTATCTAAAAATCTTTTGAATACTGTCATGTATTATACAAAATAAATAAATATGATACAATATATTTGATTAAATATAAAGTAATTTTTATTTTAATTTGTTATTATTACACAATATTATATTATATTTTATATATATTATATTTCATGATATATTTTAGGTGTTCAGGAAAAATATTGACCTTTAAAGTCATGTTTCATGTAGCTGAGAATATGACACCTATACCGGATTGTCCTGACGGATTTTGCGATTGGAAACAATTGCAAAAGAAACTAAAACCGTTACTGGATCAATGCAATTAGATTACTGTTTTATCAGAATTGTAGTCGATTTGTCAGTTGATATTTCAAAGTACTCAAATCGTTCATAAAAACATATACAAATATTTGATAATTATTGATAAAAAAAACATATATTTGATTGATCTCTATAAGTTTCGATAATTCTATTTGATTATGAAAATCATATGACAATAATAAAATATATTTTTTACTTCTACATTTAATTTGATATTTATAATAATATATTTTATTTCATGCATACTGTGCTGTTTATTTTTAATGCAAGTACGTTTACTATACCGAAATTTAACTTTAGTTAAAAATCATTTTAAGTTGTGAAATTGGTATTTTCAATAAAGACTTATGGTTAACATCCTAATGTAATTTTAACAAATAGTAGCAAGTAGATTTTATTATTTTGATATTTTCTAAAAATAAAAATTTCCAATAAAAGGGAATAAATAATGAACGATCGTTTTAAATAAATTTTAACCGTACCAAGCCTAATTTGATAATTTGTACATGTTAAAACCTGTGTAGGTATTTCGAATTGTAGCCGGATTAAAAATATAAATAACATAGGTAAACATAGGTAACGTAGGTAACGTATCGTGAATGGTTTTTATGTTTCTATTGGTTCATTTAAATTTAATATCTTATAATTAATTATGATAAAAGCAAAATTTATGGAAACTGAAATTTTCAACGAAAAACTATTAAGCAGTTAATATTAAATAACTTCTATCATGTTCAGATATACTAAATAAAATGATTCTATATCAAATTAAACAAAATTAGATTCTGCATGATATCAACATTTCGATACCGTATATTAAATGTTAAAAATAAATTATGAAAGTTAAAAGTAGATGAATGAGTGCTATATAGAAATTATTTGACTATTAAATTGAAAGTAGATGGTTAAGTACTACATAAAAATTATAGTTTGATTTCTATGATAATAAATTATTCTATATAAAAGCATTATACAATAAATTAAATTAACACCCAAATAACTTATTTTATATTGAACAAACTAATTATTAATTTATTGCACCTTAAATTCAAATTAGTTCTTAAATATATTTTTAATTTTAACAAATAAGTAATTAAATTAAAAAGTAAAACACTTTGTTTCTTCAGATTTGCATTGGAATATTGCGATCAATGCTAGTGCGCATGAATAAACCGCTGTTTAGTACATTACATGAAAAAAGTTTGGTTAGGTAAACTATTGCAAAGTTCAGTACTTTAGAAGTAATATTAATTACTAATAATATTTTTATATATCAGTATAAAAATAAGTATGTTAAATAATATTGAAAACTGGAGTCCTTTAGGCGTACCTTTAGTTATAATAAAGGCTTTACTTGAACAAAATTTTTGTTCGCCGACGATGATACAAACTTTATCTATACCTCCAGCAATTTTTGACCATCGGGATATTTTAGGTGCCGCAGAAACTGGTAGTGGTAAAACTTTAGCGTTCGGAATACCAATTATAAATGGTATTTTAGAATTAAAAAAACAAAAAGAAAGCCTTAAAGGTAAATTAAAAAAAATTAATATTAGTGATATAACAAGTTATAAAAGTACTGACAAAGATTATAATGATGATTTTAACTCAGAAGAAAAATTAAATTATTTAATGAAAAATAGTGATAATTTGATAAAAAATAGTAAGGCTAAGTTTAATTATGAAAGCATTTCATTAAAACCACTGTATGCTATAATCTTAACGCCTACCAGAGAATTAGCTTACCAGATAAAAAATCACTTATCAAAGGCAGCAAAATTTACAGACATAAAGGTATTTATATTTAATAACTTAATTAAATTTATTAATTTCATAGATATTATTAAAATAAAGATTGACAGATTGCAGTTCTTGTTGGAGGACTAGCAGCTGTGAAACAAGAAAGAATTTTAAGTAAAGGACCTGAAATTATTATAGCAACACCTGGAAGATTGTGGGAATTAATATTTGACGGAAATCCTCATTTAAGTAAAATACGTACAATTAGGTGCAACATTGGATATGTTATAAATAATTGTATAATTAAAATAATAGCATTAATAAATATCTTGTTTCTCTCATGAATAGATATCTTGTAATTGATGAAACTGATAGAATGATGGAAAAAGGTCATTTTTTGGAATTGCAAAAAATTATAGAAATAATAAACTCAAAGAAATCTGAGGTTATACGTCAAATATTTGTATTTTCTGCTACATTAACATTAGTACATAATGTTTCTTATTATCCACAAAGTAAGATAAATAAAAATACTAAACAAAAAATCCTTGAACTTTTACCTGCTCAAAAACTTCAAAAAGTGATTGAAATGTTGAAAATGAAACATCCTAAAATCATTGATATTACAAAAACTACAGGTATTTTATTCTGATTTAAAGGACATTTATCAATTTATTATATATTTTTTGTATTATTAAGGTACTGCTAAGAATTTAACAGAATGTAGAATAGTTTGCAATATAGATCATAAAGATTATTATCTTTATTACTTTTTAAAAAGACATCCAGGACGAACATTAATTTTTTGTAATAGTATTGGTTGTGTAAAAAGATTAGCAACATTATTTGGAATTTTAAATTGTAGTCCTTTACCATTGCATGCTAGTATGCCCCAACGACAAAGACTTAAAAATCTGGAAAGGTAACAATGACTCAAGAAATATTTGAAAAAATATTTAATTCTTCAACTAATCCCAATTTTTAAGGTTTCAAAATGATTATTATGGACTTTTAATAGCAACGGATGTAGCTGCCAGAGGATTAGATATACCATGTATCGATCATGTTATTCATTATCAAGTTCCCAGAACATCTGAGGTTGTGTATATATTTAATTTATTAATAATTAGAGATATTTTTAGAAATAACCATTGAATCTATACTATCATAAATTTAGTTTGATAAAAAATTAACTCTTTTAATCTATATCATAGAGTTATATTCATAGGAGTGGAAGAACTGCCAGAGCTCAAAAGGAGGGTATTACTATTTTAATAATGGAACCTTCTGAAACACACTTTTATACTAGACTTTGTAAAACACTTAATCGTAGTGAGTATTAATTTATTAAAAAAAAAAAAAATTAATATAGAAGTAGATCTATTTTCATATATATCCAATTTACAGCTGAAGACTTGCCAAATTTTCCTATTATTGATTCTTTACTTGTTGATATAAAAGAAATAGTAAATATTGCTAGAGAAATAGATAAATTTGAATTACAATATCGCAGAAAAAATTATCAAAAAGGATGGTTGCACAAAATAGCAAATGAAATGGATGTTTTGATAGACGATGAACAATTGTAATTATAAAAATATAAATATTTGTATTTTTATGTTTAAATAAATATGATTTATTTTTTAGTGAGAATACTATTGGCATTGAGGGAATGACTAATGTAAAACGTTTATTAAAAGTTAAAAGAAATCATTTATCTAATCTGATAAGAAAATCATTTTTTTCTAATAGTTATTCTAAAAACTGTAATACGTTTCTTACAATTAATGAAAATTCCCAGAAAGCTATAGATTTAATGAAACAAGTTATTAATGAAAATCCAAAATCAAGTAAAAGATTATTGAGTATTTGTAGCAGAAAGAATATTGTCAAGAAAAAGAAAAAAATTGCATGATATAAATAATTAAAATAAATATTAAAAAAAAAAAAAATTATTCAAACAAATTAGTATAAAAAGTAAGTTTATAAATTCTGACAAAATTTTAAGATTCTTTGAATTTTGTCCACTGCATATAATGAAAATTAATAACAATTATATAAAACTTGTAAATACTTTATCATAATGTACTATCATATTTCCAATTTATATATTTGTAATTTTGTGGGATGTGAAAATGGGATTAAATAATTATTAATTGTAATTTAAATTACTTATTATTTTTAATTATTTTTAATAATCTATCTTGTCCATTATTTTATTTTAGAATGATTTTTATTTTTATCAACATATTATAAATGGAAATGTTTTATATACTTATATTTCTAAAAATTACATAAACAGCGCTATTAAAATATCAAAATTATGCAAGAATAACTATCATTTTGTAACTGATAATTATTCTAATTTTGTTTGCGTCCCACGAAAATAGAATTAACATACTTTCGATCAATTTCTCTGTGTTCTAATCGATCATAGTCTTGTTGATAACTCCTATCACAATGCTGATTGTCTTCAACAAGTATTTTTATTCGAGCCATAATATGGCCACTTGGATGTAGTAATACAGGTAATTGGTTTTCACAAATTTCTGTATATATATCATCTGGTTTAGTGGTTATTAACTGAGTAGAAGACGTTATCGTAGCTAATTGAGATTTTGGAATTGGTGGTGCTAAACTATCCCTGACGCGCGAATAATCTGGTTGAAGTTGAATGACGCATGCAGAAGATGAAGAAGGTGAATCAGCAAAATTAGTAGTTGGCATTGCAAGAGCACTTGTTGATACAGAACGCTGAACGGATTGTTTTACAGACCCGCATGAATAACTGTTAAATTCAGTTGCTTCAAGGCTCGAATACTTTTGATTAAATTTCATTGAAATTTCTGGACGTATAGAAAATGTAAAGGAAGCTGATTTCTTAGCAGGATTACGACATCGACTACTTTGGCATAATTTGCTGATGCATTCAAAAATGCTACTTCCACCTACACCAGTGTTAAAATTTTGATTAATATTGACGTTAATGGTTTGAGCTTTAGTTCTATTGCTTGTTGTAGCTGGTTTTTTTAAATATTCTAAACTTTCACGTAAACTTTGAAGAATGGGCTTTGCTACAGATTTAGTCTTCACTTTTTTAAGATGTATCTCTTTAATGCTTTCTTCATGGTAAAGGTTTTGAGGAGACACTCGTGGTTCTGTTGCCCGATTTCCCACTGCTCGGCTGTAAAGAAAGTTTTTTAGCTTTTTAAAATGTTATAGTATTCTTATCTGAAAAATATTAGTACAGTATTAAATATTTACATTTAAAATTAACAATAATTATAGATATAAAATATATTTAAAATCAACAATAAATTGTCTGTCATGACAATAACATTCATATATGCTTCTATATTGATTACTTACTCGGAATGAATTTACAAATATACTAATTTTTTTTTTGTATCCATAATTCCATGTCTTCTAATACAACTTTGATTAGTTGAACCTGCATTAACATACAGATACAAATTCTTCCGTTTTGCTCTGCAATCTTATACTTACATCAATATTCATTTGACCTTCACTATTTTCTTTGAAATATAAGAACTATCTTTTTAATATCGACATTTTAAAATAAAAAGAATTTAAGTTAAATTAATAAGGTTTAATAATTTTTTAGTTTTTTAATAATTTAAACTTTTTTGCAATTTTATTTTATTTTCTAAATCTTACTTGTTTTTTTTGTTAAATTTGATGAATACTTAATAATTAAAAGGAATTTTTTATAATTATACCATTTTACGCTGTGTCGATGTAATATGGGTAATATATAATAACTGAGATTTTATAAATATAATTCTGACTTCTATATCTATCTATACTTATTTGTAATACACAATATGGACAATTATAACCCAACCAATTAATAATTACACAAAAAATAAAGAAATTTATCATTTATTTAATTATTTTTTAACATAACTTTACTTATTACATCATATACAAACTTAATTTATATAAATTTTTTAATAGTTTATATATCAACATATATATATATATTAGAAATTAAAGAATTTAAAGATTATTTTAATAAACTAGGTATATATTTATAGAAGAATTTTAACAAATTATATCAAAATTGTAAGTTATATAAGTAAGCCATTAGATTTAATTTAACACTGTGTTATGAAATATTAAACACAAGTGTAAACACAGTAAATAGTCCTATGTAACACAACAAGCCACTATTATTATTTTGTATGAATTTATATATGAAATGAATTAAATAAACACAATTATTGGAATAGGTTTAATGTTTTATTTTAATTCCAATGTTTAATTCATTCCAGTAGTTAAGGTTTAATCTAATCCAACTAAACTAGTAATCAAGAACATCAGAATCTACATCATGTATCATGGCGGAAAAAATAACATTGGCAAAACAAATTGATAAATCTAAAAACAAGTAAGGTTGATCCCTTAAAAAATAATGCCATTTGCGAACATAAGTTAGACTATACAAACGAACCTACTACAATTTTGAAGTCCATTTAAGAAGAAAATCTGTAACCAATAAAGCGATTTTCAAAAAAGTGTTGAAACCTAGATAATAATAAAAAATACATTGTTAAAATTGGTTGCAAATCAGAGTACTATACTTTTTGTAAGTTTCTATTTAATTTGGCAATCGTATTGTTTACATAAATTTAAGTTTTATGCTACGATATTAAGTATAAAACATACAAAAGTATATTTAGAGGATATATTAGAAATCTACGTAACATTCATTTATTTTGTGTATTGTCTATCTAACTAAATGATTAATGTAACAATACATTGAGATTGTTTCAAGGTAATAATTAAAAACCAAATGTTTTATTGATTAAGTGAAATAAAATAAATATTTAGATAACACTTGCATTGTTTTGCTGTATATTTTAAATTTATAAATTTATAAAGTTAAATAAATAATACAATTAATTTAACAATATGACAGTACCAAATAAATAATCAAAGATATAGTAAGAAAATTTTTAATTCATTACTAAGAATTCATTTTTTTTTAATTTTATAGTTAAAATGAAAAATTAAAATATATTTTAATAATGTATGAGAAATAAAATTAGTTCAATTATTGCACACTTTACGCACAGAATATTGGTCCTAGTTAATAATGCATCACATCATTTCATTTTATTTTTAAAGTAGAATTTTATCACAAATGATTAAATGTCCCACAAATTATTTCAATGTTATTTTTTTATTATATTTATTTTATTATCTTTTCTTTATTATATTGAATGCAAATTTTTAATTTAAATAAATGACAAATAATTAAAAAAAATAAAAAATAATAAATATAATTTAAATTAATAACAATTATTTTTGGATATGAGAAGTTACAAAAAAGATTATCAATTTCATGATTATACAATTGTTACGGATTGAACAGTTGAAAGCGGAATACAAAAGTGGGAGAGGTATAAGCGCGAGAACGGTTGTTTATAAACACTAGCTAACGAACTCGAATAATGTTTCTACGCCGAAAACCCGAATACAGGACTAGAATTTCGAAGAATTATAACAATGAAACTCACAAAAACTATGCTTATTGACGTCACGACAAATACCGGCATAGTAACAGACACCGGATCGCTATCGGCGCCTAAAAATGACTACGAGAATACTTAAGGACTGCGCGTGCCACGCCCCAGTCAGTCTTTGTCTCAGCTTAGCGTAATAGCGATTACGCAATATCATAGCAGCTCACTATTCCGTCTTCAAACTTCTTTCTACAGTCATCACTCACTGTAGATACACACGTACGTAATTGTTCAACCAGTAACCAATTTGACTATACAATAGTGAAGTCACATTTTAGAATCCGCTAATCAAACTTAACGAATAACGCGATATTTCTAACTTAATCAAGAGTGAAATTATCGAATCATACTACATATATTAACGGATTGCACCGACCCTAAGATAGCAGCAGCGGTCCCCCTTTAGAACGCTTCGGTGCAACAGCAGCAGTTCCTACGCACAGACACAAAGGCAGGAGCAACCCAGTCTCACTTAGGCAGCAGCGGTACAACAGCGGCGGCTCAGACGCATACTACTACAGCGGCACTTCTCGGAAGGGAAGGAGTCACTCCTCACATCACGGAGAGCATACACACTCTCCTCAGCACGTAAAACTATTGAAGAAACTTCCTCTAATTATTTGCTCACACCTTCATTCACACACTTTATGATTATTAACTATTTATTACATTATTATATTTAATAAAGGAAAGAAAGGAAACGCTGCATGTAGTATTAAATAATTGCATTGCCCCTTCATGGGTAATGGTAAGTCATGAGACTTTTATACATTTCATCTCCAATGTAATAATTACTATTGTCTGATAATTTCATACTGTACATTGAAACTACACAAAGAAGAGTTTTTTATGAAACTATTTTTTTCTTCTTTTAATATTTTAAAGTAATCTTTCTCGAAGCACTCAAGAAAATTGCTTATACATCTTTCAATCATCAATGGAATAATTAAGAACAACTTCAATGATAATGTATTTTTGTCTAATTTATAGATATGAAGGAAATCCATAAATGAATGAGGACTTTCATAAATAAATACTAAATTTAACCCAAAATTGAAACATCCTAAAAGAAGCAATGTTAGTGTATTGTAATAAAAATAAATTTTATAAACGAAAAGACAGTACCATAAAACTTGGATTGACAAATTTTTATAGTTTTTTTGTAAAGCAGCATGGAAGACGCATACAAAGTTTGTTATTAAAAAGGATCGACTACAAAATATTTAGCTCTTTTTTAATGCATTGGTAATCTTAAAAGAATATCAAAATTCTAAACGTAACTTTATAGTGTTTAAAAATGCTTTAACGTAATTTTTAAAAAGTTTTTATTTTTATTTCAGGGAATGCATAAATTAAACGAATAAAATGAATAATCGCAATATATTTACACTCATTATAAGTTATTTAAATACTCATTCTCAAAAAGAAATAAAATCCACTTAAATTATACAAGTATTTAATTAGATTAATTTAGATTAAATTTATATTAAGATTAATTTGGAAACAAAACATAATTTCATGAAATATGGGAATTTTAAATTAATTTTCGATAAATATATTTCTTCTTTATTTTTGTTTAATTATGTTATTTGTACTGAATAAATTAATCAATAGGTACATTTGATTGTAAATCATTTGACATTGAGTTCTAGAAGAATTACAACAGATATTAATATTCCCAAATATGGAATTAGAGATGCTTTTACGAAATAGAAATTAATTAATTCATACAGAATTACATTATTTAAAAAACTAATATTTGATAATATATAGTAAATTATATCCATAACATTTATTTATATACCTTTTAGGTAGCTTCATGAAGTTTATTTGCTTTCAATTATAATACACTATTTCATTACATTTTAATTATATGTTAATTTTGTATAGTTTCTTATACCTTTAAGTATGTGTAATAAATCAAGGCAGATGCATTATTTAAATAATTAAATAAATGATATTAAAAGGAAGCCACATAATAATATTAAATAAATTACATTTCAAAATACTACCGTATAAAATATGGTCCGTTAAATCGAATTACAAATGCAAAAAATTATTTTTCTAAAAATATTCAAAAGATATAAAATCAAATTAAATTAATATTAAAAGAACATCTGACTGTGTAATGAATCTTATTTATGATTTTGTAAGCTGCATCAAAATGAAGAAATAAAGATTTTAGTTTCATAATAGATTTTACAAACCAAATAATTGTTTTTGTACTATTTATTAAACATAAAGTTTTAATTAAAAATTAGAAAAGTCAATATCATTATAGTGTAATAAATTTTAATATATCAAATAGTTCAAATGATATATTTTTATACACCAAAAAATAAGTTAATGTATTTTGATACTTTATTTTTAGATTATCTATAAGTATAAATTATCTTAAAATTTCAATATATTTTTAAATATTCTAAATGGTATTAATAATCTTTAAAACTGTAAGTATTATAGATATTATAATCATGAAACTTATAGTATTAATTAATAATAGAATGTTTTGTCAACATTTTTAATTAATAAAAGACTATTCAACATACCCGCAAGATGTTAAAAGTTGCTGCATTTTATGAGACGTTAAAAGTCTGGCTCCTTGCTCTTCGAACTCTAGGTGCGCTCTTTCCGGTTACCAATAGTTCAAGCATCTCTGGATCGTAGATTGGTATTTCGGGTATCAAACATCCCAACACGATTGGACCTCGTGTGGATGATTCAAGTTGCATTAAACCACCATATTCACGAGGTAACGGAATCGGCAGGGGTCCCGCTATCAGTCGCACTCGAAGTGGTAATTGCCGCTTCGCCAAGTGTTGCACCTTGTTGTAGACGAACATCACGTATTCCCATTAGCTTAATGTCGTATCTTCACTGCGTTACCCAAACAATTGAAAATGTGGTTTTTCAACTGTCAGTTAGGTACACAACTGATTTTCAGTAATATTGATGTTATTTATAGTGTGCAACATTTTATATTTTTTATAATTGTAATATAAAACTGTATATTATGAGATATTATTATAAAATATTATAGATAAATATTATTATAGTACATATTAATTAATTACTTATGTTATAAAGAATTTTTTTTAATTTTTAAAATGATAAAGTTTTAGATCTTTGAAAAGAAATAATAAATTAATATATCTTATTTATAATTTGGTCTATTTTAAAAATATAAAATATCATTTAATTATGTATTGTGTATTTAAATATATAAAATGAGATTTGTATAAGTTATGTATTAATTACATTATTCTTTTATTTCAATGTATTAATATTAGGTCTAAATTTACAAACTTATTTACATATAGACAATGGTAATTTATTACATTACATAAGACTAATTAATGTTAAAAATAAATATTTAATTAGTATTTATTCGAAAATTTCATATATTTTTATTAGAATTTTCTTATACCTTATAAAGTAGTGTATCACTATTTGTATTGATGTTACTTGAAGAATCGTCATTTTGGCAAACAGCATAAAATTCGCCACGAGCAGAAAATGGTGCGAAAATTTCACGTCCGTGAGAATCAAGGCATTGTGCATATTGATCACGGTCAGATAAATTACCTACAATATTAAAAGATATTGTGCAACGTCGTGCATTTTGAAAGATTGCTACCAGTCGAAGAACTTCTCCTGCACGAATGAATGCCTTAGTGTAATGAGCCCTTAAGTTTCCATTTTCTGTAGTATATACAAAGAGTAAAATTTTTTTTTTTTTTAAATATTAGTTATTAATAAAATATGCAATTATATAATTTTTATATTTTCTTAAAATACAAAAAAAATGTTCTATAATTTTTTATCAATTATGTATTAAATAATTCACATAAAAATTCTAGCACAGTTTTTTATAAACTTTTGAATAAAATGTTCAAATTATTATAAATAACATTAAAAAATTAATTCTACGAAGAATTTTCACTAATTTGTTTTTATTTACGGCAAAAATGCAATATTTTCTTCAATAATTACTTTTATTTATAATGTTACACGTACGAGAGATACTACATAAAAATTTATTTTGAATAATAATTCGGACTAAATATAAAACTTAATAAATAATAATTTCAATGTTTTGGGTTTAATTTTTCAAATTTACTAATATCTGCTTAATACTTACTAATTTTAAATATAATTTTGTTTGATAGCAAAATATTTGAATTGTTTACTCTATTGATTTTTATGTTTAAGTATAAATTTATTATTAATTTCAGCACCTTTTTCATCTTTAATCTCTAGATATATTAAACGTTAGAGATTTATGTTAATTAGATGAAATTTGAAACATATTTGAATCAACCAACATTTAATATCAAACATTATCCATATGCATTTGTATGATCTATCATTAGTTCAGTAGACGAAAAAAATTTTCATAATTTATCTTGTTGAATCATTACACTTGTTCTTGTTATTTTCAAAATATTAATTATTTAAATTAATATTTATTTATGTTAATTTCCAATTTTGTACATATTTAAAAATAAAATATATAAAAATATGTAAAAATAGATAAAAATATATGTTTGTATACATAAGTACATATATTTTTTAATAAAACTACGTCCTTAAATTGTATCCGTAATTATGCAAATGCTTACAAGTTACGATGTCTGTCTAGTTAATCTGATTTTAATACTTTTTAACCATGTATAATTACACGAATTAAGAAAATATGTAAGTAATAAATCATTAAGGTGTATGTCATATTTTATAATATTAATTAAAGAAAATAGAAATACAATATAAATTACAGCATTCTTCTTATATAACAATCAAAACAAATAATATACAATAAAATTTATGGTTAATCATATTTGAAGTAGTTTATATCCTTTTTTATTTCCTTTTCTATTAATTTTTTTTTTAATATTTGACAAAAAAATTGACTTTTAGAAAAATATTTCAAAATATATTTTAATGTTTATCGATGATATATTTGAAACATCAACAACTCCAAAACTCCACGCTAAATCTTAATAAGTGCCATAGCGCACACTACGAAGACACACTGAGATATTGAACCATTTTTTTATACTTTATACATTGACGACCTTTCATTTCTCGGTATCTTAAATTTCCACCAAGCGCACTACACCAAAAAGACCTGGAGATTTGCTACCTCCACGCATAAAACCACTAATGAACGATAATATCTCAACGATTCTTACCACCAACATAGAATCATAATCGTGTCTTTGTAAATTAAAATTTAATAAATAGCACGAAAAGCAATTGTGTTGATTACTGAATTGAAGCATTTACCTCTCACTTATTCACTTTACCACCAGCAAAATGATGAACATGGTCTAATCCAACCATCTTGGTCCTTCAACTACCTGGTGACTGAAATTCTGAACAGAATGCTTGAATACTAAATTGTTTTAATAAAATAGAAATTAATCAATTTTTACAATAGCTAATTAGCTGCTATAGAAAATGGGAGGAATATTTAATTATCGGCTTAAAAATTATTATAAAGATATAACTCAAATATAGAAAATGGAAATTGGAAATTTTGCAAATTACTTTATATTAAAATTTTTTAAACTAATTAAATATCTGCAAATAAAGTAATTGATTACTTAAAATAACATTCTATAATAAAATAATAGTAACTGTAAACTGTAATTCATAAACATGTTATTTGTCATCTGTCATTATCCAAATGTGGTGCTTTAACATTTCAGCTATATATAATTGGTTTCATAAATTCATCATTTTAAAGAAAATTTGCTGCGGTAAATTTTATTCATCTAAATACTTATTGTTACATCAAAATTCATAGAATCTGTTAGGATATTAAGCGAAATAGTATAAATAATATTTTACCTTCTAATATTCTATAAATCTTTTGTTAACTGATTTGCAAATGTGGTACACGAGTTTGATAAAATATACATATTATGAATTATTAAAAAAGTTCATATAAATATTGTTTAAATACTATATTCAGCTCTGTTCAGGATTGGAACATTTTCCAAGACGCTTGGCTCTTGGAATTTTATAATTCTAGCTGTTGAATTTCTGTAAACATTTGATTCCGAGAATTCTCGAATATTCTAAAGCTTTGGTTTCGTTCGTCCTACGATGTTTATCTGGTCTCCGAATAGCAATGTCGGTTGGAATTCTCCAACCTTCTGAAGCTTTGCTTTGCTAGAGTTCTCAAAACAACTAAAGTTTTACTCTCGAACGTTCTGCAATGCTTTCCATATAGCAACACCTGTCTATTGTTGCTAGTTAAGTGATCTGTGGCGTGGATATATAAAGCAAGCACGCTACGAGCCTCGCTCTCTCTCTTAGTGAAGACGCTATGACACGGAACACTGTCTGTCTTAACAGGATCATCATGGAAAAAGTGCTCTCTATTAGCTGAACCGCCAAAGAGAGAATACGTTATCAATTGTGTAAGCATTCAAAGCGACTCCTGCAAGGGAAAGGTGCTGAAGGGTCATCGCAGCAACCTCCTCCCCTACAGAGAAAAGAAATCTCACGCTTCTTGAGAGAGCACTCTGTCGCCAACCTCAACCAGTAAGCCCAAGCATACAAGGCATTCACAAGTTATCATTAACACGATCACCACACACACTTGCTGCGCCACAACGCAAATCCGTCTTACGGTGCAACCATACACTCTTACACTCTACAAGACACCATCAAGTATCACTACACCAAGAGATAGAGAGATTTACGACCTCTTACTTCTCAGTGTAGAAACCTACCACCAATAGCACTACGTTAAGAGGATCCTGAGATTGACGACCTATCTCGACATGCAGTGCATTGTTCAGGATTGAAGTACCCAGCAATGAGAATTTATTGCTTTATTTAATATATGATTCCATTACATTTAAATTTATTATAATTCATAATATTTGAAGTAGTCGCTACGAAAATTCTCGATGTATTTAAAGCCTTATACCGTATCCATATAGCGGCAAAGAAAGATTCTCAAACCAACTAAAGCTTGCTTTCCGAGAATTTAACAGAATCTCCAAGAATTACTAACTCTAAATGTACGAAATAATATATAAGGAGCAACAGACGGCGAAGAAAATCAGTCTTGTTGACTAAGTCAAAGTGAAATAGTGCAAGTCATAACAGTTGAAACTTCTACATATCTGTCTACGAGAATCCGTGCAAGGTATACTTATTTGTTTACATTATTTATTACCTATAGCTGGCTAGCTATCGGTGCGCTCTCCGCAACTTGACCCTAGTCAGACCGGATTGAGAGCGACGACATAGTCTGGAATCACCAGCAAGCTACTTATCATCGTTTATTGTTATTACGGGTCAGTGCCGACACTATCGGTCAGGCCTCTACAACTTGATTATTACCAGACCGCTGAAGAGGGCGACGATACTGTTTGGTAACCCCTCGCTACATTATCATTACCGATGAGAGCGCTTATGGCTTCGTGACTCTTGCGATTCTTTGCCTTGTAAAGGTCGCCGATGACAGCGCCCATGGTCTCGTGACTTTTGCAATTCTCTCCCTCATAAAGAAAAACAAAGAGTGTCCAGTATAGTCAGCCCTGTTTTTACCGGTTAATTAAACCGGCAGTACGGTCTAATTAAACTACCTTTGTCTTTGGATCATTCTGGTGGCTGGGATTCCAAACACTTAGTCCTTTGAGTCGGATAGTAGAGCTAACGTTATCTCGGTGTTAACACATGGAAGGACGTGTCATTTATCTAAGAGAACACCATTAAAACCTTTAGTGTTTCAAACTACCATTACCGACATCTGTTCCGCTACGTCGTTGAACGTCAACTCTTAATTAGGAATCATCTCGCTGGCAAAACAGTCAATTGTTTCTTCTCCTAGGATACTGATTTATCATCAAGAAAATACCAAACCACGAGAATTCTACGAGCTCTGACGCATCAATAACCACAGAAGCAGAAAACCGTATGACTCGTAGCGCTACCGCTGTGCGATTATCCAGCGAGTTCACATTGAAAGCTAAAATGCAATGGAATCGCATCACATCAAGTAAGGAGATAGGGGAAGAATTTCCAACGTCCCATTGAAATATCTCTTTAGATGAAGGCCAAAGCGCACGAAAATGAGTCGATGAGCTTCACAAGGCATTTAATAAGGAACAAGCCTAGTTAGATGAATCATGGTCAGCAGCCTTGCTACATCACGAATACTTCACAAAGAATGCGCGAGGATTGCAGAGGGCTCAACTATTCAGGGAAGACCTCAACTGAGTCCGAAGGAAACCTAATCAGTCATCTCGCAAGTAACAAAGTGCATCAGCATCGTGTACGACTCTCCTTCCTCCAGGTCACACGGTATCTCCAGCTACCAGTACGGACCCATGGAGGTTTTTAGTCCGTGCGACGCGAGAAGTCTGCGTCGCCCCTTCAATTCCATACCGTGTTGAGCCTAACCTGTAAATAGAAGCCACTTGTGCCTAAGAGCATGACGCAGTCACAGCTTCCCCACGTGGCACTACTCGATGAAGTGGCGAGAGTTTTACAACCTCCCCGCTCTCCCCGTTCTCAGGGGGCTAACATCAAGGGCACCACGACAGGAGGATCAGGAACCTTACAATCTTCAACCTCCAAACGAAGTATCCACTAACGCCACGTTCCAATCACCAAAGAGTAACAAGGGTTCATTTATAACATCAACAATAATCATCCCTGTAATTGGAAAATAGAAGAACTCAGGTGCTAACTGCGTACAAACCGCACTCGACAAGCTGCGTTGGGACATAAGGGAGTCAGTTCAAAAACATCAGCCAAGAGCCAAGAGCCGAGAGCCGAGAGGTAGAATTCGCGATTGTCCAATTCCACCTGGACCAACCCCTTGCCAATGCTCCACAAGTAGAAGATGAGGCTGAATCACTAGAAGACTTCATTCGTGACGCAAAAGACTACTAAAAGGGCCACAACAACTAGAACTGGAAAGCAACTCGTGGGACTACATAACTGTACATCAACTCACGCAGGCTCACTTAGCGTGCAAAGAACAATGGAAAAAATCACTAAACGAGCCGAATACCTATCCCAAGTTCGAGTAATTAAAAAACGATTTCAATGATTATTATTCGAATGCGTTAATTCTTTACTGCAAACGTAAGAAAAATTCACAAGCAGTAAAAAAATGTAATATATGTGCTAAAGGTAATCTTTTTTAAGTAGAAATAATAAGAAAAGAGCATTTATAATGTTTGTGCAGATAAGTTCTAAGCATATTGGCTATCGATGAAATGTTACATATGTATAACATATGTATGTCTGTATTTATTTATTTAACAACAATCTTAATGAATATGAATAATGTTTAAAAATATAGGAAAATAACGGTGCATTTTTTAATTTCTTCTTAAAGGAAAGAACTATTTTTCTTATTCAACTTATTCAATATTTAATGTTACGATTGAAATGTAGTTTCTAACGTTTATAAAATTATTTATAATAGTTCATAAAATTAATTACAACAATATTTGAATAAGATATAAATAATATATAAAGCTAGTGAATGCGAAGCTAGGAATATCTTAAAAGAATAAGTTTATGTTTTGGCGTTCAGTATTATCCATGAATGAAAAAGTATTTTTGTTTCAAATAATCTATCGTTTTATTATTGATACTGATTTGAACACCCAGTTCTATTATGTGTTAAAAACGTATACATGTAAGAGTGAATAAATTAAGACCTCAGCTTTCTCGTTATTAAAGCTGTAAGTGATAATCCAAATCTTGCTTTCCTAAAACTACGAATGTGTATTTGACTTATTAGTCTCTTTTGGAGTCACTAATTTTTATTGGATTTCTTTAATTCGCCGCTTTGTCCTTCTCTGCTTCCCATAACTTGTAAATCTTTCTCGTTGATGATATTACGCTATTGAATACGTAATAACTGCACTCGAAGAAATTATATATAAATATACTATAGATTAATTGTTTTCTATAATTCATATACAAAAATGTAGTTGTAAGTACCATTGTATGAAAGTAAAATTATAATTATATATAAATTATTTTTAGATAACTGTAGGTATTATTTATAATTTGTTTATTCATTTTATGTATTATTTATTCTTCTAGACTAAATAAATCTTAATTCAGCCACGGATAAATTCGAAACGGATTACGAAAAAAGATTTGAATAATTAAACAGTTGACAAGAATTGAACAATTGAAATCTAATCATTAAAATTCAATTATCGATCATAACTACATAATGGAATTTGATTAGTAATTATTATATATATATTATTTTTTACAAATAATAACAAATTACTTCTTAGAATTTTATAATTTATTTCATTAGTTTGCATTAATGGTCAATTATGCGCATACAGATTAACGTTATTGTTAAATGTTTTTTTTAAGATTCTGCATTACAAAAAATATAGTTCGCCTTCTTTTTCTTTAAAAATATTAAAATTACTCACATTAATTTATTAGTAATAAAATTGGATTGGATATTGTACAAGCTTTATTTATTTTACATTTATATCAATTTATATCGCAGTTTTTCATGGGTAAAAAAACTTTTTAATTTAGTAATTAATTTTTATATTATAGTTTATCCATACATATGGATTATAATAATGAATAAGTACGGATATTATTTTAAAATACCTAAATCTGGAACTTGAGTGTCTAAATAAAAGCAATAAAATATATCCAAGCAATCAAACAATATTAACATGAAATATTAATTATTTGTTTATAATTCTTTATGAAAGTATGCTGCACTTATGTTAAAAATGCGATTGCAAGAATTTATAAAAATCAATAGCTATCGGCGATAAGGTTTATTAATGAAAATTGTAAAATGTATGTTTTCTATTAAATTTATTGTAAAAAAAATTTATATTAATAAATAAATAAACTTAACAATAGACCAGATTTATACAAATAAGATACAAATAGAAGATATAAGTTAACTTTAAAATCTTATATTCATTACTTAATTCGATCATTAGATAAATATTGTACTGTTGTGAAATATTATTCATTTTAGTTCACAAAACATTCGTAGTAGGCAGAAAAATATTCAAATTCATTATTGCATTGATTCACTTCATAATTTCCCTTTAAAAAATGTTATCAAACTGCGAAGTAAAATAATAAAATATTAATAGAATAAATATAAATAAAATTGTATTCTTTGATCACTGTTATAAAATCACGTATTATCAATAATAAAATTAATTTTTAAATTGGATTTATATTCTGTTATAATAATTATAGAACAAATTTAGATTGCATATGCAAGTAACTTACCCATTTTAGAATGTGTTAGAATGTAAGCTCGGAAAGGTGCTGCAAGTAAAAAAGCCGGAACTCCTGCATGTACGAGCGTTTCCATTCTTCGGTAGACTATAGCACAATTCGTGGTTCCATTACCTGATATTATGGAAAACCATCCTAGAGGATTAATAAAAGTATACAAAAGTTTATAAATTTTATTATCTTATATTTATAGCATTTTTAAATGTTAATACTATAATTATATTACAATCAATCATCTAATAACGTGTACACATAAATGGACTTCAAAGTATGTAATTTTATTGTCAATACAAACAATTAAATATATAAATATCTATTTCATTAAAATATTATGTAAATATTTTATTTTTTAAATTGTTTAAAATATGACATATAAATTAATATTTATTATTAGAGTCATGTATTGTTTTTTTTTTGTATTTATAAATATATATATATATATATAATTAAATAAAAAATATAAAAACACAATATTTTTATACTTATTGAATTATTTATTTTAATCTTATTATTAAATTAATTTAGTTTATAAATAAATTAATTTTATGTTATTACTTTCATAAATAATTACACAATTTTTTTTATTTTATATTTATTTATCTTCACATAAATAACACATTTATTTATATACCATTATAATTTTAATGCAATTTAATGTTATACATATATAGCTATAAAAATTTAACAATTCACTACTTATTTATATTTATTGCAATTAAAAATATATAAATTTCAATTACTTATAAATTTAAATAAGCAGCATGTATATAAAAGTATAATATTTATAACAAGTATTATAATTTTAAGAATTTCATTAACTTATTTAAGCATTCATGAATTTTGAAATATAAGCGCTAATAAAAAAATTAATCCAAAAGTAATTATATATCCAGTAAATATTTTCTTTCATTGAACATGTTATCTAGTGATAAATAATCATATAAGAATTAAAAATTGAACTTTCATATCCAAGCATGATCTCTTTGTTATTATATTTTCATGTCAATCGCATCCATTTAGGTATACCTATTATATAATTTTGTTAATATCCTTTTATTATATACGAGCGGGTTACAATTCAAATATTAATAAACAATGATTCGTAAACAGCGTGTACATAGAATTAATATTTAGTTTTAACCGTTTGATATAATTTAAATTGAATTTCTTTCATTAATATGAAAAATTGTACAGATAGTCGAGTCCTTTTATTACAGAGGATAAGTATAGTAGTGAATATAATATTTATATTTTAATATGTTTTTTATAATTTTTATAATATAATATAATTGATATCATTTCTATTCAGAGCTGTCCTTCATGACATGTAATCCTCACATTTCGCAGTTTTAAATTATGTAGTTTTTTGTAATTATTCTGCATCCAGTTATTTTCAAAGGTATCGTAAAACGAATTATCTAGCTATGAATATAGTTGATTTCTAATATTGCTAATATATACAATATATATTATATAATATATAACAGAATTGATGTAAAATTATGAAAATATTCAATCATTAAAGTTTTCTACTGGAGTTATGTTGTTTTATTCAATTTTTACAATTTTCTTTTATTGCAAGTTTAAAAAACGTTATTAAAACTTGCAATCATCACGTTTTTCACGCTCAAACGTATCTTGGAATAGTCCATGGCTTAAAAAAGTTTGATTGTTATAATAATTAATTATGATTTTTGACTAAATATAACACCGATAAAACTTTAAAAAGCGCCAAGAATTATAATGAGGATTAGGTAAGATTTGGCTGCTAGGATTCATATGTTAATTATGACTTAAAAACTGTTTAAACAATTTGAAGATTACTTGTTTAATACGTTTCGATATTCCGGATTGTTCTGAATTTGTTATTATACCTTTTATATCTGCTGTGAATTAATCAAGAAAACGAGGTCATTTAATTAGAAAATATTGTGGATTCTCTATTTTCTAACACATATTTAAATTGTTAATTGTTGTGCAGTAAGCAATCTCAATTATATATTCTCGTATGTTTATTATTTAAAAATTAATTATTTTATGTATAAATTATGAATCAGATTATCATTTCCCAAAAATTCATTCAATTATACTTAACATATAAACTGTAGTATGAACAATGATATTTATAAATAAATTTATAGTGGTTTTAAAATTTTTAGTTATCAAAAAAGTTATTGTCTAGAATCAGACTTTAAACCTCCTTATGATGGTGGGTGGAGGCTTGCTGGCAAATGGAAGAGGCAATGCAATTATTAAATACTGTCTTTTGTGCTTGTAGTCCTTACTTTATTAAATGTAATAAGTAATGAGTAGTTAATAATCGATTAATTATTATAATTAGTGTATGATATAGTGAATATATTAGTGTTTCTTCAGTAGTGGTGGTGACGATGAGTCTGTGCGTGTCTTCTTGATAGCCTGGAGGGTGATTCCCCTTCTTTGTGAGTTGAGTAGTCGTAGTGGGGAACTCGTGGTGGTAGGGGAAGCAAGTTAGTGCCGTCTTGACAGCCGGCGAAGGGTGAGCTGTAGTGTACGAAGTGATGGGAGAACGTCCGCGTGACGCCACAGCTTGTGTCCGTGAGCTCCAAGATTAGAGGTAATATTGGTGCATGTTCGTGTGCTCGATGCGAGCGTAACTCGCGGTGTAGAGGTAAAGATAAGAGCTAGCGTCGGTGATACATGCGGGCGTAAACTACGCTGTAAGTTACTATGCAAGAACGAGCGTAGGCGTTACTTGCACGTGGTGGCGGGAACTGTGTGAGGTGGTAGCAGTAACCGCGTGGTGAGCAGAGTGGCGATCCTGTCGTGCTGGGTGCTTGTTACTAGCAGAAGAAATCGCGGCGCGTGCAGCTCCTTAAATATTCTCGGACGAAATCGTTGTGCCGATAGCGCATCGGTGGCTGTTACTATGCCGCTATTTTTCGTGACGTCAATAGCACATAGCTTTGTCGGGGTTCATTTGTTAATATTTCTCGGAATTATAGTCGTATGTTCGAGTTTTTCGGTTAAAAGCATTCGTTGAGTCCGTTGGCCAACGTTTACCAAACAATGCTGCACGCGCTCATACCTCTCCCACTTAGTATTCCGCTTAAAAATTCTGTAGTCCGTAACAGATATAATTTTAAGTACTTAAAAACATATATTATATATTTTCATCAATTTATTACTAATCCTTATTTTAACATTTTTTTAAAAATATTTTTAAATATTTTAAATATTGTTTATTGTACATTGATAACAGCGTATATAAAAATCAGCCCGTTTATGATTTTATTAATGAGGCACATTAATAAAATAATATCCGAAGTATATTACAGTTCAATTAGTTGCACCAATTGAAAACGATCGTACAGAATTATTAAAGAAAGAAACAATGTGTTGGAGAATGCGAGAACATTTTCTTGCCACGACTTTTCACGGTCGCTGGACATTCGAGACGGTCAATACATCTGGTAAACTCCAATGAATATTTAGCTTATTTACTCTTGCTTATCCAAAAACGTTCTGATGCCTTTCCGGTGCATGAATACTTTATGTGTTTATTGCTAAGAAGACGTAGATTCTGAACGAGTATCAGATGTGCGTAAAATATCGAGTACAAACATTTCCTAAATTTCACTGCAACCCAAAAACCCCGCACGTGCGACAACATGCAATAGGCGTACGTGTGCACTCGGTCTTTAAGACAATGCTTGCATTGTTCCTAACTACGCCGCATCTGGTCGATCGCATCGGAAAATCGAACACGCCCAAGAGGACCCTGCATCTAGCCAAGTCCCAGAGAAGGGACAGCGACCAAGGAAAGGTGACCAATAGCAAAGGCTCCCCACTTCCGACACATCCCAGATTAGCATATTCGGAACTGAGCCCAGAAGGAAGTGGAACTGAAGGCGTGCATAATCTATTGTGCTGCCTAAGATCAACCTCTAATTGGTTAATTGAAAGAAGAAGGGGTCCCAGATGGAACTGGATCAGTGAACTATTTAAGAAGGACAATGTAATGCAACACCACTATTCCTATTCTTACTCTTCTCCTAATTGAAAGGACAAGTCACGACTTACTCTCACGGAGGAGGACCAGAGACAAATCGTTCAGCTAAGTCTAGTAAAAGTTCTTTCTACGACTGTGAATCAATATACAGTTAAAATTGATTTCATTAAGATTAGATTGCATAGGTTCCGAAACCACTTAAAATCTCACCTAGATACAAGAAAGAAACTTAAGAGCTGCAATTACTGAAGGGAGACTTCACACCAAGCCAACGAAGAGGGACTATAAAAATCACGCTACACTACAAGTAAGCCATTACTGCTAGTACTATTTCTTCATTTCTCGGCTTTACTCTGAAAACGGACGGCTAAACACTGGAACACATTTCAGCAACGATCAGTTGTTGACGCCACACGTGCCGCATAGCTTCGCATATCCTCTATTTTAGGCTCTTACACGGCCCATTATTCAGAGGCAACTGCAACACGTGTTGAGTTGAAACACCGCAAGATTGTAGTATTCGACCAGAACACTACAACAACCATAACCTCCAAAGTGATAATATAAAATAGAATCTAACCTACTTCTTTTCACAGTAAATCATAATCTTACAACTTACACGCAGAGAATAAGGAATTGATTATCCTCTAGTTCTCCAATAAATATATATCTCAACGCCACATGATTATCAAGAAGGATAAAGGTCATTTGTGATCTCATCATAGTAAAATATACCAACTTGGAAATACATTGAAATAAATGGAATAAACAGCATTAAAAAATGAAATGTATTAATTATTGAAACAGTGCATTAACCCTTTACTTGCCCAGCATTTCCCACACAACATCTAGTGGTTTTTTTTTGTTTTAAGTTGATGTCACGCGTTTGGCTGACGAATCAGATTAGTGGAATTATTTTGTTAACACATTGCAATTCAATCATTTATAATAAAAATGAATAAATTCGTATATTAATTCTTTAAATCTCTTTCTTAAAATTCTTTAAATTTCTTTAAAAGTAAAAATACATTTCATATGAATATTCAAATAACTGATTTAGTATATTCAATTCAAAACAAAATAAAAAAAAACATTAAAACCAAACAAAATTTGAAAGATGTATATTAAAAAACGATGATACAT